TAGTTTGCCTTCTCCATGAAGTCAAAATGATAGAATGAACAAGACTAGCAACAAAGAGAAGTTAGCCACGTTGCATGATATACAAGATTGACGGTAAATTGACATAAATACCCTTGACATGTAGTCATCCCAGAAAAACAATTTAATAATTCCTCAGAAATTGAGACGTTGGGAAGCCTAGAAAGCGGAACATTAATTGCTCTGAGCCTAAACATTTAATGTCTATACATAGAAAAAAGAGTATTAAATGCTCGAAAGCCCAATCAATTAATAATGGAATTTCCCCATCAAAGGTGCTCTGTACTATGCACTACCTACTGTTCCCCCCCCTCCAAATTGACCAACGGGGGGACTTCCTCTTGATAGGATCTACCTAGCAATAATGATGACCTTCATGGGAGGTATAAATAATACTTACTAATGTGAGACAAAGGTACTTAAAATCACTTCAAAACATAGACAATGTCTTTCCTTATTCTTTTTTATAGAAACTAACTTGATCGTCAAAAGTGATACACCGAAAAACACTCCGATGCCTNATAAATAATACTTACTAATGTGAGACAAAGGTACTTAAAATCACTTCAAAACATAGACAATGTCTTTCCTTATTCTTTTTTATAGAAACTAACTTGATCGTCAAAAGGGATACACCGAAAAACACTCCGACGCTTTTTTAATCTCTCTTTTTTGTGCAAGGAATCATCTACGACTTGCCGAGATTGATCAAATAGCCCTAAAACCAATTCATCACCACTCTTTAGATCATCTTTGACACTTCTTTGTCTCGGGATCGTCAATTTTCAAAATATATATGAGTTTATTAAGGAATAGAACTGTCTTTTTTATTTATTGTGCAAAAATCATTGTGTACAGTTTCTTAAAACATTGTACGGAGAAAATTGTCAACAGATATCACATAAGAATTATACTTTTAANACTCTTTAGATCATCTTTGACACTTCTTTGTCTCGGGATCGTCAATTTTCAAAATAAATATGAGTTTATTAAGGAATAGAACTGTCTTTTTTATTTATTGTGCAAAAATCATTGTGTACAGTTTCTTAAAACATTGTATGGAGAAAATTGTCAACAGATATCACATAAGAATTATACTTTTAAAAAAAAAAAACTATATAAAATGATGAATGGCAAGTTTTTTTAGGAAATGTACGACTTCTAATTAGCTATGTATAACATATGATAGTGTCAGACAATGTGTTAGATCGACGCAAAAAAATTTAGAAACAGAGGAAAATATCTCTAATGCTTTGTAGAAACAAAGAGCATAGTCTGAGTCTAGTCATCTTAGCCAATTATTTCTGCTATTCTTACGTTGGTGAAGCCCACTTGACATTCTATTTCTTTTTGATTCAACAATTAGGGATATTTTGATTAGCTTATATATATTTCAATTAATTTTTTTTTCAGTTCGATCAAAAACATATATTTCATTTCAAGACTAAGATATCTATAAGAGATCGATACCCAAAAATTTTACGGGTCAAAAAATGTGTGAACTTGGCTCACCATTCTCATCGAGAACCCTCCCCCCCCACCCCCTCCCCTCTCTTTTCCAACACACGCACTCACCCACCCACACCTACACACACTTGATCCCATAAAGTGTGTACAAACTAAGGTGAAACAATGTGGAATTTTAGATCATTTTTTAAAATAAAAAAACACACACACGAGGTTAAACCCATGTAGATATTGTGATTGGATTCTTGACATTATATTATGATGTTGGAAAAAAAATATGTTCAAAATATTTATATATCTCCTTATGTATGTTCGTACAAAAATCAAAAAACAAAAACAAGGTGAACTCCTATTTATTTATAAATGAGTAATATTAACTTAATTAGGGACTTATTAGAGTCTTAATTTAATATAAATATTAAATTAATTGTGTGTTCCACTGTTATATGGAATCCAGTTTTAATCCTGTCCTTATAGTTGACTAGATCTTCATATTAGATTCTTAAACTAAATCTAATAGCATTTTTTTTTTTATGAATTTATTTATTTATTGGGGTGTATGAGTCCCAATCCTTACAACTTTTAGTTAGGTTTCCATGAAGAAGTCGGCCTCTAATAATTGTACGATGATTGTGAAGTTTTGATTCACCCATCCTTTGACATTATTCATTTATGCGTAAGGTGATTTCAACATTTAACTGTTATATCAAAAAAGAAGAAGACATTATCTATTTATAAAATAAAATCCAAATTTAGAAGAATGACGTGGTGGATTCTTAATTGTAAGAATTTGCTAATATTTCACACTATTAGTGATCATAACATAAAAATAATACAAAATTAATGGGTTCAAGTTTAATCGTAATGTACCTGATTGACAAATGAGTGATTCATTAAATAAATGAATCAATATGAATCTAATTAAATTAGTATTTTAAAACCCAATTCATTCCGATGGGTCAATTTGGTGAATCGATTACTGGTGCCTAAAGAGGGGACGACTTTCTAATTGAATCAGTTGGGGTCGTTTGACTGGAAAAAAATATATGATGAAAAGTGAAAATGATAGAAAGTGAAGTGAAAGAAAATAAAATAATAGAAAATATATTTTTATGCATATATTTGGTTAGGATGAAAAAATTGCAAGAAAGTTTTAAAAAATTTTCATTCCTAATGTTTGAAAGAAAATTAAGTTGCAATAAAAAAATTTTAATTGTCTAAGTCATCATTAATTATATTAAATTGATCTAAAGAAGAAAAACATATGTATTATAATTTAAAGTTAAATATGCATTAATTCATAACATATGTATTATAATTTAAAGTTAAATATGCATTAATTCATACCATCGGCACGAAGATCTTTTAACTAAATTATATGGTTAATCAAATTCATACAAATATTTTTTAAAATTAATAACTAATAAAATATTTAAAGAAAAATAATGATAAAATAAAAAAAGTAATTATAGATCACTTTTTTGCATTTTCTTGTATTTTTTACAAGAAATAAAAGTTAGTTAATTGTACAAAACAAAACTACTTTTCCATTATTTTTCATTTCATATTAACCAAAAACATAAAAATTTCCTTATCGTTCTCCCTCAAAACATAACGAACGGACTGTTGAGCAATTTGCCGGGTACAAAAACGGTTAAATCGACACAATTCATTCAAACCGATTTCTTTGCCCGAATCCATATGAACAGATTTCTTTCTTTGAATTTAAATATGACTCGGCAAAAGATGGTCCGCTTAGTCTTCATCAACAGTAAATGGTGCCACCTGCTCAACGACCTGGACTAGGACACTACATACCATTTTATAGGCCATGTACTCCTTATGTGTTGCCGTCTGTTTCCGATGTGGGATCCAAATGGAGTGTACCTAAATTGCTTAGTTGTTCTTCCCTTTTTTAATACTTTTTAGTATATCTTTTAGATATGTCTTATTTTTTTTTCGGAGTCATCACATTGTTATTGTTTATACAAAATATTCAATGCTTATTAATTAGTTATTTTTTATGCTCTATCAAATTATATTTTTGTCTTTTAATTTCATTTACTATAACATAAAATATGTTATTTTTTGTAATTGTAGTATAATCTTTCAACATATTTATTATTATTATTAATTATATGATCGGTTGAATTAGTGACTTAAACGGTTAAACCAATAATCCATTAATCCAGACCGAATATAAAAAACTATGGATTAAACTTGATACGAACTCGATTATATATATCTCAGGTAAGAACTAAATAATTTTAACTTGAACACCCATAACAAAAAAATAAATAAAAAATTTGATAAATGTATCTCAAAAATTGATAGAGTGGCCCTAGACGGAAATTTGATAAATGTATCTGCCCACACACATGCTAGCCTAATATTTCCTTTTTTAAACAAGCATACCTAGCTAGAATTAAGAGGGTGTACCTAAATTAGGACAAATCGAACAGAGTTAGAATAGTTTTTATCTAACTCATAATGAAATCGAGTTCAAGTTTATTATTTATATAACAAATTGAGTTCGAACTCAGTCAAGTTTGAACAATAGTTTGTTCGGTTCATAAGATTTTGTGAACACATACAAATATATGCACCGACCAAAATTGATATTGAATTTGAGTTTAAACTAGAGTTCAAGTTCGAGCCCGCTTTTATTTGGGAGATTGAGTTGAGTTTTATTATTCAATTAATGAGCTAAGTTTGAATAAGTTATTTGAAGTTTATCACCATCACAAGTTGATGTCAAACACTATTGCAAGTAAATGATTGAATTGAACAAACTAATTTTGAATTTTTTTTTTATTTTTACGTTTGCACCTCTCATTTGAATCTTCTAGCCCATCGCTTTAATAATTTTTGAGGTTGAGTAATGGCATAAATAACATCTAGTTGTTAGATTACGCTCATATTTTGTTGTGGACAGATTCAATGTAGATCTAACATTTGATTCAGTAGTGGGACTTGGGTGTCTGGGGGATCACAATGACCCCCTCTTTTTTGTAGGGAGAATTTACTTTGAAGCGGTTATTCTCTACGTACACACATCGTAATCTTTTATTTCATAATTGAATCAATTTACATAGGACCTAAAATTAGGAATTTATCAATAAGTAATTTGCACCAATACCCAACCAACAGTTTGTTACAGTACCAACCAAAAAAGCTTTTATAAAATGAAGGTATCAATGAATTTCTATTAAATTATTTCATGGGATTCAACCAATTATCTTTTTTGTCTTTAATAATCTTGGTCGTAAAATATTATTGAGAAATATGAATTTGTGTTATTTATAGTGTGGAATAAGTTAATCATCCACTTTGATACCTTATTGAACAAAAAAGTTGATATTGTTCTTTCATTAATCAAGAATTTCAATTTTTAAACTTTGTGTAACAAAACTTGAGAACAAGTGGCTTGCTTTTGCCTTGAGTAAATGTCTTTTCAACAAAATCATAATCTTTTTTTGAACAGTTACAAGACATAATCAATACACAAGCTTTTGTTACTTTGAAGAAATTCTGAGAAAAAAATGGCCAAAACAGTTCACGGGCCCAGCTCGAGCCCGAGGACAAGTGGAGTCACCCCCAAGGCCAGCCCAAGAACAAGGGGAGACACAAACCAGTCCCATGGCCCATAGGACCCCTAAGACAAGTGGACTCGGTGAGCAAGGTGAGCCCAAGAACAAGTGGAGACCCAAGTAGAATCTCATAGAGCAGGGGTAAGCCCAAGTACTAGTGGACTCACTGCTAAGCACAAGCCCACTTGAAAAACCCAAGATCGGGGAAAGCCCTAAGACAATTGAAAGTAGTCTGGTTGGCCCGGGGCATGCCCAGGGACTAGTGGCCTCACTGCTAAACACATATCCAAGAACACGTGGAGACCCAAGTATAGTCTCATAGGGCCGGGTAAGCCCAAATACTAGTGGCCTCACTGTGAAACACATACCAAAGAACAAATAGAGACCTAAGGATAGTCTTATATGGCCAGGGTAAAGCCCAAGGACTAGTAGCCCCACTGCTAAAAAAAAGCCCAAGAACAAGAGGAGACCCAAAACAAGGTCGTAGGCCGGCCCAAGCCCAAGGGAAGTGGCCTCACTGCTCACACAAGCTTTTGTTGCTTTGAAGAAATTCTAAGAAAAAAATGGCCCAAACAGGTTCATAAGCCCAGCTAAAGCCCGAGAACAAGTGGACTCACACTCAGGGCGAGCACAAAAACGAAGGGAGACCCCGTCCCATAGCCCATTAGACCCTAAGACAAGTGGACTCAATGAGCATGGTGAGCCCAAGAACAAGTGGAGACCCAAGTAGAATCACATAGGGCAGGGACAAGCCCAAGTACTAGTGAACTCACTGCTAAACACAAGCCCACTTGTTTCGGTTCCATAGCCCACAGCCGGAACAATTTCAAAAATTCTGCAACATGCTTTAAGGGTTCTTTAGAGGTCGGTACACCTAATTAGACTTATTTGACAAAAAGTACATAGAATAAAATGAGAGTTAAAAATACATAAATGTCTATTTTAGGGTCATTTAATTCAAAATCTCTTATCTTTAATGCACCTTAATTCATGTGTGTTTGTTAATTCATATAAAATATATATATATATATATATATATATACACTTATTTATACACACACACACACACACATATATAAATTTGTTGTTAAATCTCTTATCTAAATTTTGAATTATCTTTAATGCACCTTGATTCATGCGTATTTTTTTTTTGAAAAATAATTTTGTTTTTAAATTATATTTAATGCACCTTGATTCAAGCATTATTTTTTTTTTGAAAATAATTTTATTTTTAAATTAATTTATTATCCGAATAATGTAATAGTATAACAATAACAGTGTAACAAATACATTATAACAAAGATAGTGTAACAAAAACAGTGTTCAATAGTTTTGTGTATATGGTAACAAANATTTTTTTTTTTGAAAATAATTTTATTTTTAAATTAATTTATTATCCGAATAATGTAATAGTATAACAATAACAGTGTAACAAATACATTATAACAAAGATAGTGTAACAAAAACAGTGTTCAATAGTTTTGTGTATATGGTAACANCAATAACAATGTAACAAATACATTATAACAAAGATAGTGTAACAAAAACAGTGTTCAATAGTTTTGTGTATATGATAACAAATTCAAAACAGAGATAAACTATTTTGAATGAAATTATATGAAACTATATGTTTACCAAAATATAATAGTACAATATTTTGTGTAAATAACTTGTGACACTATTATTGTTATACTGTTACATTGTTAGTGTTACACTTTTCTTGTTACACTGTTATTATTATACTATTACACTATTCGGATATTAAATTAATTTAAAAATAAAACCACTTTCTAAAAAAATAAATACATGAATCAAGGAACATTAAAAAATAATTCAAAATTTAGACAAGAGATTTAACAAGTATATACATATATACATACATAAGTATTTATATATATAAAAATATGTATTTATGTAAAAACGTATATATATATCATTGTTTGAATTTCAAAATTTGTATTCATGTATTTATACGTATGTATTAAAGTTCTCCCAAAAAATTAAAAGATGTTTAATACACCACTTTTCAAAGAAAAGTGCTACATTAAATACACATGGATTAGTGGAGGGCAAAAATATCACAATAAAAATAGATAAATTCAAATTATGTACTTGGATACAAATAAGTATTAAAATTAAGTACATAATAATCCTATATTTTTTAGTGTGTACTTTTTGTCAAATAAGTCTAATTTAGTATACCCCTTACAATTTACCCATGCTTTAATGTTAAATCGGTAATCCCGTTTATTCCATTTTAGAAAAGAATTCAAAAAATTAATAATAAATCAAAGGAGAATCTGAATCCAGCGCCGCCAATTTTTTAGACTCCAAAAAATTCGTACTTTTATTTAATCAGTTAGATTGCAATTTAATATTTTGGAATAATTTTGTGTAATTCTTAATTTTTTGATAATTTTTAAACAATTGAGGATGATGTAGAATAGGTGGTTGAAATGGTCTGAATTACGGATGAATTAAGACCAATGGAATTTGATCTTGATCAGACCAACGATCAAGACTCACAGCTATGCGATGAGCTCTGTCAGTATTGCGTCGAATTTCATTGTTTAGGTCCTTAAGATCTTTTTTTTTTTTATTTTAAAAAAAAATTAATAATAAATCATAGGAGAGTTCGAATCCAGCGTCGCCAATTTTTTTAGATTCCAGACAAATTTTTATTATGTTTTATTCGGGTTATCCTGTGTTACATGTGAAACAAGAACATAAGATTAAAATTGTGTGTCAAGTTCGTATCATATCATGTCGATAATTATCACTCTTATATATTAGATGGTTTTTTAATCTGTCCCTCAATAATTAATCCGATAGATTTCTCAATAACACAAACATTATATTTTAATTTTTAACCCTATATTTAGTTGATTCCCAAAAAAAGTGNGTTTTTTAATCTGTCCCTCAATAATTAATCCGATAGATTTCTCAATAACACAAACATTATATTTTAATTTTTAACCCTATATTTAGTTGATTCCCAAAAAAAGTGGACGTTTTTTTTTGTATATATTTATTAATTTTATGACAAATTGGAGAGATTTTTAACATTTTCAAATCTTGAAAAATCTACTTGTAATAAAAACAAAATATTTTTAATCAGTGAGGGTATAATGATAAATAAAATTTGCATATGTTTCCTTTTCTTTNCAAATTGGAGAGATTTTTAACATTTTCAAATCTTGAAAAATCTACTTGTAATAAAAACAAAATATTTTTAATCAGTGAGGGTATAATGATAAATAAAATTTGCATATGTTTCCTTTTCTTTTTTTTTTTTTCCAGTTTTTCACCTATACCAAATAATTGAAAATTAATCCATCCAACTTTTCATCTATGATATCAAAAAATAAAAAAAAAGCAGAGAATAGTTTTCCTTCCTCTAACGATAAAAAACTTATCTCTGGTACTTTTATATTTTGTTTATTTTCAATCTGTCCTGTCAAATGGACCATATAATAAACGAAATTCAGAAGTACGAAAAGGANAAAAAAAAAAAAAAACAGAGAATAGTTTTCCTTCCTCTAACGATAAAAAACTTATCTCTTGTACTTTTATATTTTGTTTATTTTCAATCTGTCCTGTCAAATGGACCATATAATAAACGAAATTCAGAAGTACGAAAAGAAAAAAGGAGGTCCTATCCTGCTGCCATTACAATCAACCAGAAACATCCGTAGCATCAAACACACTATGGTCAAGCTTTCCTAGACCCACTTCAATTACTACAACAATAATAACCTCATATTCGAAGTTGGTTCTGGGCCATTTTCAGGAATTACTCACCCCTCAGGCATAAGGCAGAGGGAGGCAGGGGTCTGAGTAGGCACGTGCCCCTCTTANCCTAGACCCACTTCAATTACTACAACAATAATAACCTCATATTCGAAGTTGGTTCTGGGCCATTTTCAGGAATTACTCACCCCTCAGGCATAAGGCAGAGGGAGGCAGGGGTCTGGGTAGGCACGTGCCCCCTCTTAATTTTTTTTTAATTATTAGTTAAATATATGTATTATATATTTATATATATATATATATTATATGTGCCCCTAATTTATATTACGCCTACATTATTTAACCTAAATGGTTAAAAAATTAATCCAACTTAAAACAAAAAAAATTGAACTCACTATTATCTACTAAAATTTATTAAAAAATTAAATATTTGACCTATTACAATCCATCTAAACCTATTAAAAAAACAAAATTTTTAACCCAACATTAAAAACAAAATTTTTGGTCAAACATTAAAAACATAACTTTTGGCCCACCATCATTAAAAAAGAAAAATTTGGACCCACTTCACTAAAACCTATCTTATTTTATTTTATTTTTTTCTTTCTGTATCACCCACTCCCAGCTGTCCACTGCCTAACCACAAAAAAAAGAGAAGAAACAGAGAGAAGGTCAACACACGAGAAACTCCTTGAGTTTTTTTGTTCTTCCTTGCACTAACTTATAAAATTATTTTATACATTATATTTATCCCTTAAATTTTTGAAAATTTTAATAATGGTTCTAGTTTTTTTTTTAATAAATTAGTAGACCATTAACCTTCTAAATTAAATATGTTAGTTTTAGATTGAGTCAATGTTCTATTTGTATATTGACAAAAATACAACATTTTTTTTTATCTAACACAATGTTTGTTACTTTTTAAGAAAATTTTTTAGCTTTTATATAACATTTTTTTAGTAATAGTAGTCTATAACCTAATAAAATATGATTGTATACAAAAAACAAAAGGTTGTAACCAAAAAATATTTCAAATTATTTTGAATAGGAAATTTCTCTATAAGATTGATAATAATCTCATCAAAATTTTGTAACTAAATAAAGAATAATTTTATAACGTACTTGTGATTGCGTGCATTAATTAAAAATTAGTGAAAAATTTCGCCTAAATATTTTTTTGTATTAATTTTGGCTAAATATTTTTTTATACTAGTTATATTTTGCTTCTATCATCGATATTCATGGCTCCGCCCTTGACAATATACATTTTTTTTGGAATTTTTTATGTTAAATGGACTTCATATATCAAATATAGTATAATAAATATAAATATGTTATATAGTGTGATTGGTTAAAAAAAAAAAAAGTAGAGTGAATAATTGAAATGCCCACCCTGAACAGAATTCGTGGCTCCGCCCGCGCTCGTGGCAGACATATGAATCATTCTCACCTGATCATCTACAATAATGTCTGGAAACTTTCCCAGTGGCCCATAGATATTCCCAAGTGTTGTCATAGAGGTTCCTCATTTGTCATTCGTGTTCCTTGTCACTTACTTGTCATAACCAGAACAAAAAAACAAAAATCAGTGTCCTTTGATCAACGTGTGGTTCACGTTGATCCTAGGACAAGTATCTTGATGGACTAGCTTGCAACCATTACAATAATTGTTAGGTGTCTGTNGATCAACGTGTGGTTCACGTTGATCCTAGGACAAGTATCTTGATGGACTAGCTTGCAACCATTACAATAATTGTTAGGTGTCTGTCAACACCAGCCACATAAATGAAAATAAACCCGAGCTCGAACTGAGTCCGATGGTTGAGCTCAGGTTAAAACACCCAAAACCTCAGTTTCACCTGGCTCGTCTATATCCATATGCCCACCATTATTAGAACTTAGAAGTAACTGACTA